CCCCCCCCCCCCGCATCCCCGCATCCGGGACCCCCGTCTGTCAGCAGGCTCAGGCGCTCCAGGACCTCGCAAATTACAGACAATCAGCCTTGTCAGTGGGAAGGACGGGATTCCTGCCTCATACTGGGTGGGTGGGCTCCAAGGGGGACTCAATTGAATCCTGGGCTGAGTGATGTCAGAATTACTCCTGTAACCAAATGCCGGGGCTTCTGCTGTTTCTGGAAAATGGGATTGTCTTTCAAAGAAGAGATAATTTAAAGATGGAGCCCATGGCAGCATGCCCACCTCTGCACACTCACCCAAGCAAAGGGTCAGGGACAGGCTGGTGGAACACTCGTGGGTCCAGCTCACATGTGCACCAGCCTTGCCTCTAAATAGCTCCTGCCCTTGGGTACCATGCGTGACGTTCCTGGGCCTCGGTTTCCTCATCTATGAAAAAGGTTGTTGATAATCCAATCAAGCATGATAAATATTCGGAGGTTGAAAAATGAGCACATTAAACACAAGAAATAAAACTAAAACACAGCCTAGCTCAGAGTGGGTGTGCAATACAAAGTAGCTATTATTATAATACACACACCTTGATTGACAGGGTAGTTGTTAAGATTTTTGAGAAGTATCGAACTAGAGGAATCAGCTTGGGCCGCTGAAAAGAATTGAATGTGAAATTATTTTAGTTATAATCTCCAGTGACCCAGAAAAACTTTTTTGTTTGGTTTTGATTTTTGGTGGAGCATGTGTGGTGAATATGGACTCAACCAGGGGAGCCCTAGCAGAAAGCTGAGGATCTTCTTAGGAGATTGTTAACCTTCATCCTAAAGGGTGTCCTTTGAAATATGATTTATAAGAGTGAAAGATGTGACACAATATATATACCGTATCTCCTATTTATATAAATTGTGACACATCATAGAAAATCATGCAATAATAATATTCTCAGAGACTATTTAAACAATGGGAAATGCTCACAATAAAATAGTAAGTAAAACACCACACAGAAAATCTGTATCATGTGTTGCATTATCCCAGTTTTGTTTATATTATGTACACATATATGTACACACACACACACACACACACACACACAAACACATCGGTATTAAAATGACACTGGGAGGAAGCTGCCCCTAAATGTTTCCGCATCTCTTCCATTTTTCTAATGGATGTCTAGTTTTCATAGGTAGAAAGGGGACGATACTTTTAAGTGGAATAATGGAACCAAAATTGACATTGAAGGCAATCAATTGGCAGTGTGGAAAATGCAGATGATGATGTAGAAAAAGCCATAGGAAAGTTCCCAAAAAATATATAAGAGAAAATGACAAAAAAAAAAAAAAAAAAAAAAAAAAAAAAAAGAAAATGACAAAAGAAAGCTAGAAATTATGGAAGAGGTACCCAATCCGTGGAAAATGGAAGTTCCTGAAAAACAGAGTGAAGTGGCCCAGAGGCAATGACTAAAATGTCCCCAGGTGAGGGAAGAGCTGAGTCTCGGATTAATAGGCTTCCCAGATGCTGGGGGTTGGGGTCAAGATGAACAGCACAGATGGAAAAAGTAGATCTTGGCAAATGTGTGGAATTACAAAGAAAAAGTAAGTTTACTGCAAGGGTCCAGGTTGTCATGAACTATCAGATCACCCCCAGGCCCGGAACTAAGTTGAATAGAATTCAACACCAAGAACCCCATCGCAGCCTTACTTGCTCTTACTATGGCCACTTTCTGTTCTGCCCACAGTCGGGCTCTGCTCTCCATTGGCAGTGGAGCCCCAGAGCATCAGGACCCATGTGCTGGGGACTGGAACCCCTCCTCACTGCAAGGTGAGATGCAGCTGACTGACGGGGGGCGGGTGTGGGGGGGTGGAAGGGGGTCATGTACAGCAGTCCCCTCCCTAAAGCTGGAAGCAGCTGAGAACTCAAATCTTTGTGTGTGGTTTTTCCAAGGTTGCCCAGGCTGCATCACCTCTGACCAGCAGAAAACTGTCCAGGGTGGCTGAAATGTTTGCAGTTGTGAGAAAAATCATCGTTGCCGCTACGTCTAAGTCCCGTTCACAGCATCGTACGGAAACTTTGCTTACCCACGGCTGATGCTTCATTTTCATCAGCCCCACTCAGAATCGCTGATGTAGGAGGGAAAGTGCTGTAACCAAAGAGGTGAGGTAGGAGGGGACAGAGAGAGTGGGGCTGATTCATATGAGGTGACACAGCAGTTATCCTCTTATCAGTCCTACTGATAAACGGATCGGTGACGCTCTCAAGCATAATCATTTCGCAAGAGCATCTGTGACTGATCTTCCCAGCCCGACCTGGAGCCTTGATGTGATTTATCTCCACGCTGGCAGAAACCACCGGGCCCCAGTCGATCTGACAGAGGGGAAATTCTTCTCCGGCTTCAGCGAGGACCAGGCAGCAGGCCCATTTGCCCTGTTTTTCCTAGAGAATCTGCCAATATCATCATCATAAACATCTTCAAAACCATCCTAATCCTGGGAGCATTCCATAATCCCTACATGCCAGAATGATACACAGCCAACTTCATTAACAAAACCCTCCTCCTGACGGTCGCTTTTATGAATCCGAGCATGATAGCCAGGACTCCAGCTGAACCAACCTATATCATATCCCTTATGAAAAGCCTGTCTACCACTAACACCTGCCCTGTGCTGACGTGTCTCACTACCCATCATCACCTCAGGCATCCCACCATAAACATAAGAAATCTGACAAAAGATTTACTTTGAGAGAGTAAATAGGCCATGGGTCACAGAGAACTCAGCCATGGGTCACAGCACAAGGCTTATTTATCAAAGTGCATGTCAGCATCTCTGCATCAGAATCACCTGACATGCAGGTTAGAATGCTAATTCCTGGGCCCACCTTAGACTTGTTGAATCCAAATCTGTGAGGGTAGAGGAAGACTCCCTCCCTGACCCTGAGCCGTACTGCCTGTGTTTGGGAGAATAAGGCCTCCCAAAGATGTCATGCTTTCATCCTGGAAGCTGTGACCCTCTACCTGACAAGGAAAAGGGACCTTGCCAATGTGATTAATTTAAGAACTTTGACAGGAGGGGAGGGGGGAGTATCTTGGATTATCTGTATGGACCTGATCTAATCTCATGCATCCTGAAACATGAAGGACCTTTCTCATCTGTGGTCAGAGGGAGAGGTGGCCATGAAAGAAGGGTCAGAGAGATGCAACACAGCCACCTTGAAGACGGAGGAGGTGCCATGGCCCAGGAATGCAGGAAACTTCTAGAAACTAGAAAAGGCAAGGACAGAACCCCTAAGCTCTCAACCCTGATTGTAGCCCAGTAAGATCCACCTCAGACTCCCGACCTACAGAACTGTAAGATAATAGGTTTGTCAGAAAATAAACACATGGGAGTTTAAAAACCCTGGTCGGCTGAGCAGCCTTGAGCCTGGAGGCTGGGGCTCGCATCCTGTCACATTTGGCCACTCCAGCAGGTGACCTCGCACTGAGGCATCCGGGCCTCGGTTCTCATCGTTGAGTGGACAGAATCACAACTGCCATGACAGATTCTTAGAGAGAAGACGGTGTCTGAAAAAAGGAAAGTCCTTTTTCTCCAAAGTGAAGGTTGCTTTCCCTGGGAGGGTGGTGGGTTTAGGAGCATCCCTCTTCCCTACTAGAAAAGAAGAAAGCCAAGAACTCCAGGTTTTCTTAGTGGCATTTGTGCCGCAGGTGTTCCACTGTGACTGTCATTGTGCGTGTCCTGTCCCCTGATGGGCCCTCTGGCACGTCGTTGCGCTCAAAGGTACGTGTCAGGTGAAGAATGAATTAAATCAGCGCATAGAAAAGGCAGCATCTTTAGGTGAACAGTGGGCTCCCATAGGTGCGGCCATTTCTAGTAGCCTCTGCAGCAGGTGGCCACAGCTGCCACTGAGGATGGCCCTGAGTGGCGGTCACACGGGTGTAGGCTCAGACCCTGGCTCTAGAACTTACCAGCTGGGAACCAATGGGCAAGTTCCCTGACTGCTCTGAGCCTCAGTTTTCCTCACCTGTAAAATGGGAATCTTAAAATGGCCCCTAATCATAGCATTGTGAGAACTGAGTCCAGGCCTGGGAAGTGCTCCAGCACATTGGCTGGCAATGGGGAACCACGCAAATCTCCACTGTTGTTTTTTTTGTTTGTTTTGTTTGTTTTTTTGCGGTATGCAGGCCTCTCACTGCTGCGGCCTCTCCCGTTGTGGAGCACAGGCTCCAGACGCACAGGCTCAGTGGCCATGGCTCGCCGGCCCAGCCGCTCCACGGCACGTGGGATCCTCCCAGACCGGGGCACGAACCCGTGTCCCCTGCATCGGCAGGAAGACTCTCAACCACTGTGCCACCAGGGAAGCCCTCCAGTGTTGTTTTTATTGCTATGCACCAGCCAAGCGATAGCCACTACTCTGCCCACCCTAAAGAGGGGCCTGGCTCGGGGATCCAAATCCAGATCCAGAGCTTTCCTAAGGCTCAGCCCTGCTTATTCTCCAGAAGAAACATGAGGACACAGGAAGCTCAAGGGCCTCTTGCCCACCTGCTGCTGTCCGCCTTCTGGGATCCCGCGCACCCCAGAGGTGGGACCCCCGCCCTCTGTGCCTTACCTGGATCACTCCGCCCCCTTCTCCAGCTTCTCCAGCCAAGAACACCGCAGGCAGCTGCAGCATCTTCCCCAGCCAGTCCATCATCACTGTTTCCAGCTCTGTGCACGCTGGACTGGCAGCCTGCGGGCGGGAGGTGAGGGTGAGCCGTAGGCTGGCCGCCCTCAGCTTCCCGCCACCTTGGGGTCCAGCAGAATGACAAACAGGGAGGCTTCCTTACTCCCCTCCCTTTGATGGGTCGATTTAGCAAAAAGCTCTCAACATTTTCAAAAGGCCTATCCCTGGGTGGGAACCCCTTTGAAGGTGGGCTCTCCCATCACAGATTTCCAGGAGAAGCAGTGGCAGAGGCTGGACTCCTCCCCCACAGCAACCCCAAGGCATCACCGAGGACCACTGCGGGGGAACTTGATGCTGAGAGCAGCACACATGACCTTCTGCTCCGCCCCCCAACCCCGGCACCTGGAGAAGCATGGAAGGAGCCACCATCCCCAGGGCCCAGGTCGGCCGCTGGAAGTCCAAGGTCACTGCCTGCAGGGGTTTGCATGTCTCTACATGCCTCACCCATAGGCACGGGTTCCTGGTGACGTCACCTCTGACTCTGACATCACCCCACACTTCGCCAACAGAAACCTCTAAGGGCTGGGGCCATAGCAAGGGCCCAGGTCTTGCTGAAAATCTTCCACTGGATCCCACCCAGACTAAACTCTCCCAATCTGAGGTGCTGTTCAAATGCCCCCAAACGGTATCAAACATGCTCTTTGATGGTGACTCGAGGAGGATGCCTGGGCAGGAAGGCAGTGACCGTCACGATGACCCGCTCCCCAGCCACACTGGGCCCGCACAGGGGGCTCATTCAGCCACCTGTTTACAGAAGGAGCCAGAAAGGCTCCCTCGTGGACCCTGGTCTACAGTCACAGTGGGAGGAGTGAGATGGGCTGAGCAGAGGAGGTGCAGCCCCGGGAGCCCCCGCAGGCCTCTGATCCTGCTTTCCACACTCGGGGTGGAGGGGGAGTTTTGGCCCCAGACTCCTCCGGAGGGTGGATGGACCTCCCGTCCATGTGGGTCTCACTGTGGTGGTCCGAGTGCTCTCTAGCTCCCCATGTACTGCTGGCCAGCCCCACGCGGAGGGTCCCACTCCATCCTGGCCGAGCCCGGCTCCAGGCACGGGGACCTTCCTCGCTGTGCAGAACCCGGGGCTCAGCCAGCACACCTTAGAGACAGCAAGGAAGCCCTCCAAGGCCCCAGACCATCCAACTGTCCTCGAGAAGGACATAGTTGGAAAGATGCTATCATCACCCTGGATGGCTCTGGAGTGGCAGAGCTGAGTGGAATCTGCTGCGGTGTCTAATGGAAGGAATGTCCTTTAGGGGAGGGTGTGCTCAGCCCAGACAAAGGAAGGTCCCCGAGGCCACACGGAGCGGCCCCAGGCTGCCCTCCGCCGAGAACTGCAGTAGGACCCGGGGGTGACCCTCCGACCCTGCTCCTTGGGGCGCCGAGGCCCACCCTCCCCAGCAACTGAGGACCCCAGGCTAAAGAGGAGCAGTGGGGGGTGGAAGTGGGGAGCTGGGGGCAAGGGGAAGGTGGCAGGGGCAGCGGGCAACTCTGCTCGTGCGTTCAGGAACCCACATCTCCTGCAGGCCTCAGGCAGGAGTCATGCGTCCACTCGGCTCCAAGGCACGAGCAAGTAGGCAGGCACTCTGGACCCAAAAGGCCAAGAGCAGACGCTGGCCTGGGGAGAAGTCCCAGCGTGTGGGCAGCCCTGGGGTCCCGGGCGCAGTCAGCCAGCAGCCCTCCTTCCGAGCGCTCTGCATTTGGGAAGGCAGGACTCGTTCC